TATATGGATGGCCTATTTTCAAGAAAATAATTTTCATTCCACTTACTCTGACAAGTGCTTCTTTCATGAAACTTTTATCTATCCCACTAGCTAGCAACAAAATAATGATAACAACAATAACATTCTTCGTCTTATAAGTACACACATCCTTGTTATCTTTCTCGTTATTGTCGTAATACTAATGATTGATCATCTGCATATAATAACAATCCAAGTATGCTAACAACAAACAATATCATATTGCTGAGCGGTGGTGTCGAATAACTGTTAAAATAATGCTAATGTTATTGGCAATAATAGTAATAATAAATAGTAATAATAACTAATAATAGTGTTGATGATGATACTAATACATTCTAATAATAGTAGCAATAGAAGCAGCACTAGTGCGGTTGTAGAAGCGATATTGGTGATAGCAGCTCATATTCACAGCAGTCAGTAGTAGTGTTGAAGTACTAGGAATATTCATATGGAATGCATGCTCGTCATGAAAATCGATGAGTATAACGAGTGAAAGGAATGATGGATGAATGAATGAAACTACCTACTACCTACCTAACTACCTCAAAATGCTCACTGACTAACTGCACAACTTCTTTTAGTTGTTTCACTTCGAAAAATAACAAACAAATTTTACTTCATTCAATATGGTGCTAACAGTAGTAGTAGTAATACTAGTAGTGGTAGTAGTAGTATTAGTATTAGTAGTAGTAGTAGTAGTAGCAGTAGTAGTAGTGATACCAGAAGTAGGTAGATGTTAGTATTACCTGTTTTCACTCATCATCTCCTCATCGTACAAACTGAATGACAATTGCGATGACAATGACGACAACAACGATGAAACACACGAACGGCAGAAGATAGAAGAAGAAAATGCCACCAAATATTACAGCAGCAATGATGTAGAGAGAGGCAGAAGAAGGCAGTAAGGTTGAAAGTGATAAGAATTGGAATTATTCATGGTAAATGATAAGGTGTATTTATCACTCATTCATTCCTCCGAAGGGTACTAGGGGCGTTACGACTCTTCAAAACACCAACAGCAATATCAACAAGAATAAATAAATAAGTAAGAGTTATGCAATAATAAAGTAAGGGCACTTGCTCGCTTGTTGCACTAATCGCACACATAATCGTTGGGGACAAGTAGCCAGCCGTAGGCTTATGATGAGCGTTGCCATTTCCTAAAGAAGCAGTCAATGCAGTCAGTCGATTATGCACGCATCCATTTCTCTACAACAACCCTTAGCATAACCAATCAGCCTTGACTAAATGCTAGTACGGCTACTGCTAGTGTTGGTTAATTTTCAGATTTGACAAAGTTGTTTTCTTAATGGATTATATCAAAAATTTCCGATGAGAACTTTTCCGAAGAGGCGCTTGCACATGTGGTATAGAGAGTAGTATGTAAGCGTATAAGGTAGCATCTGAAGAAAGTCTCTTGAAGTTGTTAGTTCTCCGTTAAAGACATCAGTCAATCAATCCATCCATCCGCACAGTTTGATTCATTCACTGACTAACTGTATGAGCGTTCGTTCATCATCAGCAACCGAATACATTGATGGAGACAAAATGTCTACGATTAACCAGATGCACGACAAAACTGATGAAACAAACGAACATAAAATATTTTTCTTATACAAACAAAAAAAAACCAACTAATAGCCAACGTGATAAGAAACATTCGACACTGCCAGATAACGAAGTCTTGCGATTTTGATAGACGAGACCGATGATGATTTCGAAGGTGAGATCAAAACAACCAATCTCTAGCATGTGACCCCTTCAAACAAAGTTTCTTTGTTCACTTACTGATCAGTCTCCAACAACGAAACGACGTTTACTTTTCATCATGTAGAATTTTGCTCATCGATCAATCAATGCTGCGTTAGCGTGATTGTTCGATGTTACGGGTTTCTTTCTTTGGAAGGAACGGAATTTTCAAGAAATTTTTCATGTCCACTCACTCGTTTTGAGAACAACTCTATTTTCCGAGAATTTATTCTGCTAAAAGAAAATTTCATCAATCACACTTCAAAATTTTTTGCATGCAATTGTAATTTTTTTAGCCAAACAATATTATGAGATTCTTAATCACTTAAATTCTGATACTTTTTTAAAACTACGAACTGCCTGTCACATGTTGTGCCGCTCTATTCATGAGAAGTCATATTCAGAGTGCTTGCTCGTCGATGCCTCTAGTTTCACAGAAAAATGCACAACTTTGCATTTTTATATTCATTGAATTTGAATGTAGCTGATACTGAAGCAATGATCATCATATCTTCTGATGAAAATATCACTCAAAAACTTAACAAAATTTTTTGTGTTATAAAAACAGCGCATGAAATTGTATAAGCATACTTTTGTGCATATATTCGCAAATATTACTTATACTGTTATTCGTTAAGTTCATGTAGAATCCACTTGTCCATCTTTTTCACCTTTCCAATCAAACGGAGGTGATCCCCAACACTCAACCCCAAGTTTCGAAGCTATAGCTTTTCCCATTGAAACTTTCGTCTTGTTGTTTAGGGTATGTTGCCTTCGATAACGCAGCTCTTTTAGTAGTGACGCTTACGGAAGAGAAGTAGCATTTTTTGGTATTTACAGCATGAAATACTGTAGAACCACAACTAAATATCCACGAGTTCGAGGAAATTCATGGGTGGATAATGAACTGAAGGAAGGGGATGTATACATCTTAGAGACCGGCGAAGAAGGGCGAGAAATTTCGATGAAGGGAACTGACTTATGATGCGATATACATCCAAGATTATACGGTACATTCTTTTATTAGGTACGAAAAGAAATAGAAATCCATCACGTGTATTCTTTTACTGGGTACAAAATGAAATATATTATGTTTAAAAAGAAATATATTGGATGCAGAGAAAAATTATTTCCTTATTGTTAGTAATTTAATAAGTGATAACTGCATCTGTTTTTTGCTTTCTATGACTCCAGAAGAGCATAATGTGGATAAACGAGGTTAAATTCAGAAGGATACGAAATCCTTTTCACGTCTGCGCCTACGAGTCTTCATCATGCAGGAACAGGTTTGCCAGTAGTAACGATCGCTTACCATTGGATTTATGAGCACACAACATCTTGTGTACCTAAACATACGTATTAATACATGCACATACATATACATAGCAAGATAGTATTATAATATTTACAACTTAACTCATACTTATTCGATAAAGCATTAGTAGCAGCAACATGTGACAAAAACACATGTTTGCCACAAAAAGCACATTATTATCAAATATTTCTCAGAATAATAATAGTAATAGTTCCACAATTCATTTTTGCACTTTCCTTTCATAAATCCTTCTGGAATGTATATGTGCTCCCGAACATCGTCGAATCTTCGTTGACCTCATATTCTCATTGGTTTGATTGACCATTGTAAGAACAAAATATCATTTTAATAATGATCACCTTACAAAAGATTGGTGGATGAATAGCTGAATGAATGAATGGACGGACGGGTGGCTCATGAGCATCGATCTGAGGTAACTAGAAGGATTATTCGTTTTGCGATTCAGTTTTGTATCTTACATTTCCAATTCAATTCTCAACTCTAAAAACGTTCGCCCAGACTCACTTCGAAGGTTGACCTTACTGAATCATAGTTGTTCACGTAAACAACGACTATTTCTTCTGGCTCAATATCGACTATTCAAATGAACTCACCACTTGAATAGTCGCTAGCTGATCAAAGAAGACTGTCGTTAAGGCGAGTGTTTTGGTGAGTACTTGATCAAAACAAAGACGACCATAATCGCATGAAATTACGTCAAACAATCAACCGAACACACATGCCAGTCACCTTATGTCTTGCTTTGAATTACTTCAGAATTGCATCAAAGATGACTCCTTTTAACTGACTGAAACTGTTCGCTTACGACCGTTCTATGAAAATCTAAGGTTATGATATTTCCTTAACAGCTTTTTGCAAAGCACGCATAACGAATGCTATTCCATATCTAGTGCATACTCAAGCTTCAGCTTTGTTGCTTGTGGACCGCTTTATGGTAGGTAGCCCACAGAGCCGCAGTGATCATCTTGAGTAGCACAACAGCAACTTGATCATTAACAACAACGTCAGATCACCGCTAATTCACTTTGAAACAATTCGAACAACGGAGCTTGCTAATCGTTTATAAACAAAAATATCAATATGGATGCAGTAATATGAAAGCAACAAACAATTCACCATTGCAGCGATTCAAAAATACGACATAATATAAACATATATATTATAAAGTTAGCAGCATGTTCACCAAGCTCCGTACGCATTTTCACTCGTACAACAGAAGAATGATAATATATGATAACAACAATGTTATTATTATTAAGCATACGTAATAATGATCATAGTACAACAACTTTCAAATGAAATTGTGAAGTAAGGCTGGCGGTAACTGAAAGTAACGAGGATTATAAGCACTGGAGAGAATGATTTTAAAAAAAAGGAAGGAAAGCAAAATGGATGGATGATGAATGACGCTGTCTGATTCAGTACTTGCTGCTTGATCGATCGGTTGATTGACTGACTAATAGATCGGTGGCTCGACGAAGTGGTCATTGAAATAGATGGCGAGTAATAAATACAGCTGAAGAAGAACGATGGTGACGGCATCCGAAATTAGTAAGCCTCATATTGATGAAGTTTACATGAAGTTAATGATGCACGATGAAGTTCAGATGTCAGCTAACATTAATCAACGACAATGTCAAAATGTTCATATGCCCATAAGTCATAAATACTCATCAATCAAACGTTAAACCATGATGAAACAATGAATAGTTGCCAAATGCAGAACAGTGCTGAGAATGAGACTGACAGCGGGGAAGAGCGATCAAACAGACGACGCGGCGTTGATGAATGATTGCAAAGATCATGTTGACAACAACAAATCAAACCGTCACTTCCGAAATCTCGATGCTTCCGACAACCATCTGCCCTCCATCCGTAAGCCTTCTCACCGAAATGCATACAGTCATTTTTGTCACAACCCCGTGAAAAGCCACGTTTCCTCGATTGGTCCTTGTCCCAATAATGAGCTTTCACACAAAAACCATTGCTTGAGCCACATCTGCCCAAATTGATCACTCGTATTTTACCTTCTTCATAATATTCATGATGCGATATACAGACGAGAGCGTTGGTCAGCATAGGTTTTTGTATCGATAAGACTAGCAGAATGAAGATGATTATCGATGATAAAGATAAGGGTGTTGCGGATGAATATGAACGAGTGAAATGATTCAGAAAGTAAGCAAAATGTGAATTCTTCGTTGATGAAGATGTTGCCGTTGCAATAAATGATCTTTGTAGATGATCGTCATTCAGTTCGCTTCCACTAGCTAACATTTCTCTTCTGGTCGTCATGAATAAATAAATCAACGGATGGGTGAATGGATGCTCAAACGACCAACCACCCGACCGCCTATCCACTTAGCTGATCTACAACTGAAGAATGCAAGAGGAGGCGACAACATAAGATGAAGAAAACATATGAACGAAGATAAAGACGAGAAGATTGCCTCTAAGCTGACTCGTCAGAACCAGCGACACTAGCCCTATGATCAGTACTATTATGTATCTTCTTCTTCAACCACTGAATACACTTTTTCAAATATTTCGTTTTTACAGCTCACAACTTGAGAATAAAATAGAGCGAATAAATAATAGAATAGTAGCACCAATCGAGCGATTGTATTTAAGTGCTAAGTGTTGCTGATAATGATGGTGTTGAATAGATAGACGCATGCTGGTAACGAGTCACCAAGCGAACCAACTAAACACTTTCAACAATCAAAAAACCCATTTATCTTCTGCCAGTCCACTCATTCATGTGTGTCCACCTTGAATTTCTTCAATGTCCAGCAAACCAATCAAAAATGATTAAAAAATGAAGTTTGATGGTACTATTCTACTATCTTAAAGATGTTCATAACTAGTGTTCGTCGGGGAACGGGGTCCCCGTCGGGGACCCCGGCGGGGAACGCGGGGAGTGCTCCCCCCGCGCAATTTGCTCCCCGATTTTTGCGCGGGGACCCCCCTCATCCAATTTCGCTCCCCGACCTCCCCGACAGGGAGGACGGGGAGTGCGAACCTTCCCGAATATCGCGAACATTTAACTGAAAATGGTGGAAGACAGCCGCAACACTTTCAATATTGTCTTGTTTTTTGTTTTGAAATGTGAGTATAAGGTGCACTTGAAAGAAAACTACTTAAAAAAAGAAGAAAAATCTTTAAAAAATTGAAATTTTGTTTAAAAAATTAAGCTGAAATGCTCCCCGTCCTCCCCGTCGGGAAACACGGGGAGCGGTCATTCCCCGACGGGGTCCTCCCCCGCGCAGTTTGCTCCCCGACTTTTTCGCGGGGACCCCCCCGTCCAATTTACTCCCCGCGGGGACCCCCCCCCGTGCAAAAAATTGCTCCCCGACGAACACTATTCATAACAATGATGATGGTAATTCGATGAGAATAGGTATTGTATTGTTACTGTTCATCACCCACTGTAATGAGCACCACAGTAGTAATCTCTCCATCACTATCGACACAATCGGCTAGAATCGCTTCGCCGTTAGGTAAAACTTCATTCATATATTCATTAAAGAAAAAGAAGTAAGCATAATAAAACAACAACGTCATCAACACCAAAACGCATTTTAGGTCGATTCTTTTAATCATTTATTCCAATCCAACACCAACAACAACCATTATGTTTTGCACGCATTGCGTTCACACTTACTGCATTTCAAGGTGATTCTTTACTGGCGATTGTTCATTTCAATTCATATATTAACAAATTTGTTTCCTCTTCATTCATTTAAACATCAATGAATAATAAATAATATACTATACATAAACACTGAAGTATCACGATGATGTTTATACATCTATGATATCATATCCATTTTTGCATATCTACCTAAAACTTTCTAGCCATCATACATCATATAAAGACACTGTTTGTTGTTCAATAACGAAAACAGACCGTCATCGACAACGTATAATATGCATACATATGAATACGAGATGTCGCAAATAAATGAAAATGAGAAACACGAATACGTATTCTCCCAATCATTAGCCATCAACAAATAACATTTTAATCACCAGTATATCCCGGCGTTCCACCTAGATATGGTGTCTGCAAACAATGGATTAGCATTCATTTGTATACAACCCATCCACTTGCTTATTCAATTCATCAATCCGTTCATCACTTAATTTCTGTGCGCTCTTCCAACATAATCTTCTCAGAAATTTAATTTCTCATTGTTTAAAAAAAGCTACCCCTCAATTTCGAAGCGAACACTTCATCCGGTATTCATCCACGACCTTATCTTTGTTAATTACTCCATCATTTTTTTGTTATCCGCATTGAACTTTTCTATATAATAAACTAAAATGAGAGCAATCTTTTTATGAGTTCTGATTTGTCTCTATTGTCTACAGTGACTGTCAAATTGCTCTACTACTAATTTGCGCTTTTCGGCCTAAATCATTCATTTTTGCGAGATTGATCGCATTTTCATAGTCATACAGATCGAAATATTCATAACACAATCACTTTCAGTTGGTTTCTCTTCTTCTTTACATGTACAAGAGCAATAACTTTTGGTGAATAACTCTTTTTACAAAATCGTTCAAGTGGGATTACGTTGTATTAAGAGCTCTTTTTCTTTACATCTCTACTGTTCAGTCGTAATGATTTCTACTAGGAAATGAGTGTATAGTCTCCCAGTATGACGCTACTTATCGTAGCACTATACGGACGAATGGACGCAGTTTTCATCGAACAAAACTCATCTCGATCACTAATTGTAAGCAAATGCACCTCAATCATTCAGCGAACGAACTTTTTGGACATGAACACATGTTGGTGAAAAAGTGCAATTATAATAAATTCAACAGCTGTGAAATACGAGCAATTCGGATCATGAATTTATTTATGCGTGCAATATGTCAACGAACAAACAATAATGATATTAATAATGATAATAATAACCATAACATGTTTCATATAAATTCATTATCAGTTTTTGTTTATCGGAGGAATAGTGCATAACTGCGTGAGCACGATGCATACTTGTGTGTGCACGCGTACGTATCCTAATTTTACTGAACATTTTTTCCAGCTTCTTCACATATTTGGACACGTAAATTTGAAGTAGACTCACTCCCTCATACCACATCTTATCCTGCTTTTGCGACCTGAAGCCTTACGTAACCAACATTCAAGTTTCTTTACTCTTAAGCTCTCTAATCAACGAATCTCCATCAATAAATCAATCGTATTCCTACGGTTATCGAACCCGATTCAAACTGTATGAAAATATTTTTGATGAGTGATTTGCTTTCGAGAGAAAAATAACAGTTATTTTCTACAAGCTTATCCACACAAACGCGCATCATCCACCGCCAAAACACATACAAACCAACAAAAACCACGGGCAATCAATTCACAAAAAAACAACATTAAAGCGCAGAACAGATTCGAAAATGAGATGAGTGAGAAAAAAATTAAACGGATGAAAATGAACGAGTGGAAAAAATTAGTTAAAATTGCAAATAACATGAACGAACAAACGAATGAATGAATGACTCATAAAAATATTATCATTGATATAGATTATGCTAAATGATGACAGCAATTGTTAATAATAATGATAAGAAGAACAATAGTGATATAAGAATTAGAAATGGTAAAGAAAATGAACAACATAATCATCAGAAAAAGAATAGTGCAAGATGAAAAGAAGAAAGTATGTATATACGATGTAATATCATTTATACTGAAGAAAATAATATTGAGTAATAATAATAACAATAATGATAAGAATAATGATAAGAATAATAATAATAATAGAACGATAACAACAATGCTGAGAACCGTAAAAAACCGAAAGAGACCACACATCAGTTTTCTATTATCATTGGTCTAAGTCGTTCAAACAAATTGAACTCTTCGTATAAAGCAAATTTTGTCAACTTGACACAAGCACACACACGCGAACACTCAAAAACAAAAAAAAAACAATTACAAGAAAACGATCAATGATGATGATAATATAATAATAACGACAACGATGACGATAATGTTCACAATGATAATAATAATGATGATAATCCAAAATCAGTCGATCGTTTTAAAAATAGTCCCATGAAATGAATGAAAACAAATCTTCATGAACATCAAAAATCTTGAAGAACTTTACAAAATACGCACAAATATAAATCACTTTGACAATGACCGAATGCTGATAATTATTGGTTTGATTGTAAAAATGTAAAACGAAATACATGCGGACAATAGTCAATGTACGAATGAAACAAATTATAAAGATGAAAAACTTGAAAAAGTACGAAATTTGTCGAAACTATTGAAAACCATAAAACTCAGTTCATTCCACATGAGAAAACAACCAAAATGAATCACACATTGCTTTGATATTAGTGGAAAAGAATTTTAAAAAATGTGTTCCAAACACTAAGGAATTATGAAAAATATAAACCAACAGATGAATTAGTAATACACACAAATATTCATGAACATGAAGTAAAAATCAAATTTTTAAAAGAATTATGTATGATCGAGTAAAACTCTTTTCATTATGAACGAATAGCATTAGCATGATAATATCGTTACCACTGATATCAAAATGTGAAACCACAGAAAATCAACACGAACAATCGAAAACAAGAACATCAGCAAGATCGAATGATTGCACGTTACAAAGCAAATAAATTACATTCACACAAACTAACATAAACAAAAACAACAAAATTACTCTGATATAGCATGAAACTTCAATAAAAATATGTTATTCGATACCCATTATAAGATCAGAATGAATGAAATGAACTCAATTTCAACGATTCAACAACAATTAACAACAATAAAGATGAAACAAACGGATTTTGAAGACTTTCAATTCTGTTATACGCAATCTAAGAATTTTCAACGCTTGATTTCGTTTAAAAGTCGCGTCTCCTATTGACAAATCACGCCACTAACCACAAAGAAGAGAAATGTAAGTATTACTAGTTCATATTGTTATTATATTATATATACAAGCTGAGAAAGAATAAAAGCGATGAAAATAATAACAACACGATCAACAACAACGGTTCATGTTGATGATGATTAACAGAAGAGATTCTTTGTTTGTTTGTTTGAAATTTAGAAGACCAATTAACGAATTCATTCATCAGATTAAGAATATGATTATGATTACGCCGAATGTTACGAAATTAAAACAACAGAAAGGGGAAGAACCAGAGAAGAAACGAAAATGTTAAAAAGTGTCATGCAGTATAACATAGTTACAACAACAGCAGAGTGGAGAGATTCCTAAATAAAAAAAGTTGCATGCTTGCACCGAAGAAGCACCTTAAAGCTGCTGCTGCTGCTGCTGTTGCATGCATCCATACATCTCCAATAAAATTAATCTTCACAAAAAGAAGACGCTCCCAAAAAACAGGCAAAATGGGTGAAGAATGATGATACAGAATCTAATGGAGCACCAAAAACAGCAATAATAGTAGGACAGAAATGAAGAGAAGAAGAAAACATCAAATTATGATTGATTGTCGAGAATTTACGGCAGATGGATGCTGATAAAATATGATAAGATAAGAGCAGACGATACGGTGTATTGGACACAGACAAGTTGGAGTTGAATGAGAAGTCAGTAAACCGACGGATATGTTATAGAAAGAAATCAAACCTTCAGATGATGAATGCTTGCATAGAAGAATAACGATGGAGCTTAAGAAGTGCTGGCTGGTCGAGAAACGAAGGTGACTTGTATGGAGAATAATGCTTAATTGACTGGGTTCTGAGAAGGACTGATAGAAAGGATGAGATGCGACGAGAGGAGAATACATAAATATTGACAATCGAACGGTGATACTGATCGGATCGTATCAGTATGGAGCGAAACGATTCAATGTTCGATAAGCGGCTGCCATGGCTGGATATCCAGGCAATGCGGCCGTTAATGCAGATCCCAAATACGGCTCACCGATCGCGGCCGCCGTCGTTCCGGCCGCTGAACTTACGACGGCAGCATTCGCTGCTGCTGCGGCTGCACCCCGTGCTGCAAGTGCGGCCATAAGTGCAGGATTTGCTGCTAGAAAACACGAAATAACATTCAATTTTTGTTTTTTTGACTTGATTTATAATTATTCCTATCTCCAACTATCATAATTATTGCTTTTTTTCATTCAGTGAAGACAGTTTCTTATTTCAGTACAAAAACGAATCATCCGTTCATCTGTATGTGCATAAAATTTTACGCCCCTATATCACTCACAAGGATCGTTATCATGAACTAATAAGTGACGACAGTAGTTGGTCGTTGTATTTACCTTGTGCTGCGGCTATCTGCAAACGAGCCTGTTCCGTCAGGAGAGCACTTGGATCGAACGCGGCCGTTGGTTGAACGTGTTGTGCAGCACTGGCCGCAGCAGCTGCCGCTTGTGGTAACTGTGCGGCTGCATTTCCGAGTAAAAGACTCTGATTTGGATTCAAGTGCGCAGTGGCGCCACTGAGCTGTGTAACAAACGGGAATTGTTGTTGTTGTTGTTGTTGCTGTGCACTGAGTGCGGCTAACTGAGTTTGTAGTCCTATGCCTTGTAGATTTCGTACCGCAAGCGCCTGCGCCAACGGACTTCGCAAATAGAGTGCACGATTAGCTGCAGCCGCTTGCTGCAATGCAGCACCTTGTAATGCCGCAACGGCTAGATTCGCCTCTACAACACCTGCAAAGAAATGTTTTCGAAAAGAATTATTGTCTTGTGTACTGAAAAACAATTCAACGAAATACAATCTTCATCATCATACAACACGAACAAACCCTTATTATGTACAATCAATCAGCCATTTTGGCATTCAATCGGTGCTGACCGAATTACTCTTTCTTCTTCTTCACCGAGTCGATTCCATTGAGTTGATTTTCTAATAAATTCTGGCTACAAGAACTTGAATTCCAGATTCTTCATGTAGTAAGCACTGAGCCAGACGAATGAATATGACTGGCTCAATGTGAATAGAATGCCCGTCCACTCACAACAACAATAATATTAATCCTAATAATAACAATAATCGTAATAATAATGATAATAACATTCATAATAACAATGATAATAATAATAATGATAATAATAATAGTAATAACAATAATAACAATAATAGTAATAACATAACAACAATATATTATTTTATCCAACAAAAGTACTGCTAGTATCAAATTCATAATCTTGACAGCACTAAAACTCATTTCTTGCTCAATCTTCTGATCAACAACTACGAATATAGGGATAACGAAATCCAAGATAATATTTCAAAGGAAACATTGAACTGGTGGGATGGATCGATGGCTGGATGAATGCGTGTGCGTCTGTATGCGTTTATGTGCTTATGTAATCGAAGATTTGATTTATCATTACGCACAACTTGCTGATTTCAGATTGTCTTTCAATGCAAAAACAATTATGGAATGAAATATGGCATTAATTAACTGCCAAAGTAACTTCACGATCAACGAAACTCAATGGTCAGTGAATTTAGATAATGTGTCTTATCCTTATCATCCCCAACTAATGGCATATAATGATGGATGGATGGAGAAAAGAAACCAATGAAATCCCGATTATTCCTCTCTAAAATCAGTAAACGAAAAGTTTTTGTCAAAAGGTGCAAATCGAACAAATCATTATGTGCACCATTTACACTATCACCTAATGCTACTTTAACGCAACCCGCTTTCATTCTTATTATGATAGTTCACAACGCCAGAAACGAGAACTTTAAGGGTGGATGATTCCTTTTCAAGGATATTACGGCTATATTTCACAAAGCTCGAAGACGAACTGAATCACATTCATACATGTTTCAAATGCAAAGTAGTAGAACGATGAAAGAACGAACACAAGCATCTTGCGCACCGAATCAGAAGCAAATTCAGCTCATACAAAGGTTAATGATCACCGAAATCTTTTATCTAATGTCACCTACACCCACATGCATCCAACCAGCCATATTCAGGCCGCCAAATTTTCCCCAAATACCGGGAAATAGAACCAGTCAGCTGCCTTCAAATACTACTCGATGCATACTCCCATCAAAATAGACAATCGTCCTACAACTACTGCTAACATGAACATAAACATTTCCCGAAATATTCAGTGAGATATGTAATTATCAAAGATACTGCATAATGACTACAGTTCATTATCAATGATACTGGTTCCTCACCATGATAAATTATCATCTTCTAACATATTCTTTGTAAATCGAATTGTTTACGTACTGATACGATACGCCTCAATCTTTGAAGGGTACCGATGGCCGAATTCGGTAATATGCACTTTGGAATAGATTTTAGAAGGTAGCCAACCGGATGGATCTTCGCTGAAGTGATGTGTTAATCGGGGAACAGTCAACTTGATCTTTAACCCATATATGATGATAATATGGTGCTCCGAATGGACGGACATCATGCAAATGAGAACAAAACAAAAACAAAAGACAACAACAGCACACGAATCAACAAAGTATTTCCCGGCGCTGCACATTCGCACCACATACATGACAAGCCATGACAACATGCTGAAGGCATTCTGAAATTTTATTTTAGACCATCTAAACAATCAATTCACCGAGAAGAAGCACTAAAATTCAGCTGCTATCGATCAATAAATATAGTCATCAGACTTCATCGCTCAACAACTTCGAAATATTTCTAACTGTAAGAACAAACTAGTTAGTAATCGATAAGAGCAAAGATTGAAGCCAATATAAAACGATTATCATCATTTTGAACTTCTTTCTCATAATCGTTATTAGTATCACCTATCAATTATTACAACAGCCATGCACAAGAAGCAACCGCACGTGAACATACAAACGAAAGAATATGCGTGTTGTTTCAGAAGAATGAGAAATGAAAGCAATTAATTAATTCATCGACCAAAATAACAATCATACACAATTATCAAAATTACTATACATCATTATAATACAAATATAAAAAAGAATGCAAGAACAAAAAACGAAACAAGCGATTAATCAATCAAACAATACCACAATCAACAAACGGCTCACCGGGTGCGACCTTCGGCTTCTTGGTGTGGATGCGAGCAGTTGCGCAGTTCACCTCAAAAAGTCGACTATTAGCGTGAGTGGTGTGTGGCGAGGCAATGCGCCCTCTTGCAGCACGATGCATGCTACCCAATTTGCATGATAATAATAATAATGATAGTAATAATAATAATAATAGTGCTAATAATAATGGTATAATAATAATGCACTTTGAAGCAAGTAAAATTAAACGAGTAGTAGTTATAATAGTATTATTATTATTATATATTTGAGGTAGTAGCAGTATAAAGATGGTGGTAATGGTGAGGGTAGATAGATGTGTGGGTTTCATCATCAAGAACGTTTCATAGTGATGTAAGTAATAAATAGTAACGAACTGATAAGTAAGTAAATAAATTGATAATTTAGATGAGATAAGAGCCAGAACCAGAACCACATGCGAACCAGAGAATTCGAAAATAAATGAAAAAACAATGAAGAAAAGCGGTGATTTTCAGGCCATTTCAACGCATATGGTAACATTTAACTATTACCATTATATTCATCAATATCAACAAACATTTATACTGATTAAATGAACATTTATGCGTTTGGCAGAAGAAAGGAGAGCGCAGAAACCATAACGGGTAGTATGTGCTTAATTAATTGATCAGACAAACAAAAACAACAATTATTTATAATAAATTCATAAATATCATAGCTGTTATTATAAAAAATTATATGAAAATGAATAGGGAAGCCGTCAACCTAGCAGAATACAGCCCGCATGCCATATATATATA